TGTAGACTGGTGCAACCACTCTGGAAATCAGTGTGGATATTCCCTAAAAAACTAGGACTAGAGGTTTCCCTTGACCCAGCTTTTCCTGTTCTTGGCATCTTCCAGAAAGAATTAAAAGCATCCTACCATGGCAATATATATACACCCATGTTTATAGTAGCACAGTTTAACTAAATCTTGAAAGTGACTCAAATGCCCACCAGTTGATGAATGGATAAAGAAGATATAGGGATTTTTAAAAAAAAATTTTTTTTTGATGCAGTAGAATACTCAGCCATAAGGAGAATAAGCTTGAGGCATTTCTAGCCAGATGGATACACATTGAGGCCACACTCTTAGGTGAGGTAAATCAGACACACATCAGTCAATATCACATTGTCACTGGTGTGAGAAACCGAAAGAGTAAATAAGGACCAAAATATGTAACGGCTGTTTTGAAACTGAAAAAGAAATATTCAAATAAGAAGGGGAACCAGGGAGAGAGCAGGGGGAAAGGAAAGAAGGGGCAAAAAAAGCATAGAAGGAAAAATGGAAACCAAGCTTTTGTAAATCAGGAGGGGAAGAAGGATGGAAGACGGGGAGGGGACTGGGAAAAATGCAGGCTGCAGGGTATTTCATGGACGGGGCAAATTCCCTATTATGAATGTTATCATCATGTGTGTCTACAATGTACCAATAAAAAAGAAAGAGGAAGGAAAAGACACCAGAAGACATCTGTCATTATCACGGGTGACCTATTTTTTACCCTACAAAGAGAGGGGACCTTGCAGCGCAGGATTTCACTCTGTCTCGCCCTCCTCCACACCTCCTTGGGTGCCGCAGACTCTGGACCCTTGCCGGGATCATTGCCCACGTCGTTACCTCAGTTTCCCAATGTGCAGCTGATGAGGGCTTAGAGTGTGTCACACGGAGAGCTGGGAGTTGAGATCTGGTGTGATTCCCAGGCCTCTGTGCTGAGCTACATCCATAGCTCTTTTTTATTTTGACACAGTTTCCCCAACTAGCTAAATTATCCAGGCTGGCCCTGGATTTCCCGCCATCCTACCTCAGTCTCCCAGCCTCTCACCCTCCCCGACCTTCTTAAAATGCGGATCATGATGGAGTGTTCAGAGCCAGCCTGAGACTTTGCCTTTCTGGTAGGACCAGGTGATGTCCACACTGCCAATCCATGCACAGGGGCCAGCGAGCCTAGTTCTGGCCTGCAAGGCTTCAGGAGGTGCCCACCTAATGCCCCCCAACAGCTCTGATCCAACTGGTCCAGCATGTCATCTTGGATCAAGTTTTGTTTTCAATGTGCAACCCTGGCTGAGAATCCCTGGGCTGAATAGATGGAATGACCCAGGCACTTGACACAGGGGCGTTGTCCTGCAGGCTGCAGCAGCCCCAGTGCAGGAGCAACATTTCCCTGGGTGCAGCTGGAACCAGCTAGGGGGCAGCCAGGTAAGGAGCAGGCTGTCGTGGCCAAAGTTTGTGCTCCTGATAAAAGAAGCTGACCAGGGGCCTGGTCTTGGTCACAGTCCTGAGCCTCTCTCTGCCTCACCCTCTCCACCTATAAGCAGGGTCTTCAAGCCACCTTGGTAGAGGCAAGGCACGCCAAGCTCCAAGTTTGAGTTAGAGCCTCAGTTAAGCAGCTGTTATTTGTAAACAGCAATATGGACCTGAATGACCAGCTGCAGGGAAATCGAGGGCAGCAGGTAGCTGGGATGCATGTTTGCCAACACAAGACTCCCAGACTGGGAGAAAGAGCTTCTGGGAATGCTGGACCATGCCATTATCTGGCACGACTGCAGATTAGCATCGTTTAGTTCCACCCCCGCCATGAAGCCAGGACTGAGTGACTTTGACACCAACCATGAAAAGCTAAGATTTTAGAATTTAATATCCTTTTCAGGATGTACTTTTTCTGCATTTTGAAGTGAACCTCATCTAAGACAAAAACAACAACTTAAAACTCTTTATTGTATAATGGGCTATGGAATAAACCCCACATCACATCAACAGGAAGCTAGGGAGATGGCATATCTATTTGTTTGTTCATGCTTAAAAGGCAACTTTGAAAATGATTCCTGCAAAGTTTACCTTTGCTCTGAGGCTCATGAAATATGTAATGTCTGTCTCGTGGGCAAGGCACCTGGGGTCTTGCTGACACTCGCCTGAGGTTTTGGTTTTGTCTGTGGGAGGCTTGGGGAGGGACAGGCTCCATGCCGTAATTCTGTCTGCTTGGGAGTGGTGACAGATGAGAGAGAGGAACAAATGCCTGAGTGATCCTATTGCAAAAATGAAAGGTTTATCTTGGCTCAGAGATTTGGAGAGTTTGGTCCATGGCTTTTTGGACCCGTTACTTTTAAACACAATTTTTAACAAATCACGGCAGGAACACATGGCAAAGCCAAGCTATGCAGCTCTTGGCCAGAAAGTGACAAAGACAGCAAAGAAGCAGGGGCCTCTCTCCCCAAGAACGGCCCCCCAGTACCCGACTTCCTCCTGCAGGTTTCAGCTCCCCAGGGACCAGGCCTAAACTGCAAGGTCTTTCCAGAACAATCTCGAACCAAATAGAACACAGAGAGTAACGGGAGGGTAAACGAAGGTGACTGAGAGGACACAAAACAGAGGATTTAAACTGAGACCACTGAGGCAGAACGCTGTGGCTCCTGTACCAAAGCCACCCCTTTCTCACTATGCCATTGCTTTTTTTCTGCTCTCTGCTCCCCTCCTCCTCTAGACTCACACTTTTTACTCTGCAGAAGTCCACACATAGCTCCCATCTAAGAGCCAACACTCCCTCTCTACTCCATCCTTTGAAGAGTGGGTCTCAGCATTTAGTACGTCTAAGTCCACCCTATTTGTTACTAAGCAAATATGCCTAGGGTCTAGCCCCTAGGGTCTGGGGGAATGGAATCTGAGACTTTTCATTTTTAAGCCCCCAACCCTCCCCAGATTCTGTGCCAGTGGCCACTGGAGCCTGCTTCAGGATGTGCTGCTTCTAGCATTTTCCTGAGAGCCCCTGCTGCAGGGACCCTTGTGTGACCTTTCGTGCTTATCCAAGTACAGCTGTTTGAGCAAGTATGTGCATGCTAGCGACAGCACAAACACAGCTCTGCACAGGGATAGAGGTTAGTTCTCCGTCTGCCCACAGAGCCATAGCCCAGAGCTCCCGTCTAGAAAACACCAGACAAATTAGGAGAATTAGAGCCTTCGTGAGCGCTTTCTGCAGAACCAGCCTCGTGACCTCTCCAGCTGACAAACCTGCACTCAGACACACATGAAACCGCTCCTCACCGCCAGCGACGTCATACAAGGTCCAGCCTGTCCTTACCTGCAGTTAGCAACAGATTAAGCTCCCGGCTGCCGTGTCAATAGACCTTAGCCTTCCTGGTCAGAATAGTAGGATTGGTTCTCTAATAAAACTGGGCCCATGACCACAGGGGCCAAGAGCAAAGGTCTTAGAGTCAAATAAGTCTGAGTTGGATTCAGCTCTCCCTTTGCCAGTCCTATGTGTTTGGTCAAGTCAAATTCAGAATCTGAATTTTCTCACCTGTTAAACAGATGTAACTGCTTCGTTAGTGAGTGTTAGGAGAGTTAAATGACACAATGAAATACATTTTAGGCGTTTTCTCTCATTCAGCAAGTCTTCACTGAGCATCTGTTATCACACCCAGGTGGATGGCTGCTGAGATGCTACTTTCCTTGACAACAAGCAGGGTTCATTAGGGCCCTGGGCACTGCATTTTAGCAGTAGAGTGGAACAGTGGAGCTCACCATCCACTGATTGCCTTTGTGATGGAATTAGGTGAGGAGGCCGAGCTGCAGAAGTGGCCAGATATCCAGGTGAGATACCTGGGCACCAGGTAACAGATACCTCCAACTCTACTGCAGTCAGTCACAATCAGAGTTGTGATTAATCCAGGTTTCTACATAAGACTCTTTGGATCCATGCTTAAATACAAGTCTGTCCAATACCAGCAGAGCTGATGATCCCATCAAGTGGAAGATGAGCAGGCTCATCCTCCTCAGGTGAGGAGCCCTGGGGAGCTTGTTCTCCCAGGCCATCCTGACTCCAGCATGCTGACATGGGCCACACAGTCAGTGAGATTCGGAAACCAATGAAAGCCTGGCGTAGAGTGTACCCGGGGAACAAGTGGTTTGTTTGAGTGCATAAATTTAAAACCCTTTAATACGTGTCCAAGAAGTTGTGCCCAGACAATTGCCAAAGAAAACCCAAGAAATAATAAGAACTCCAGAAATGTTTTAAAGAAGAGAGTTTTTGGAAGAGTGAAAGCCACAAAAACATAATTTTGAAATCTATTTTGAAGAAACTTTGGTTACTTCAATTCTCCATGTGTGTAAATGGCTAATCATAATCGTGAGATTAGATATCTCAAATGGTACAAAAACTGTGAAATGGAAATCAATCCCAGGTACAATAAGTTTAGATACCATGCTATACTAAATACATCCGATCAAGCCCTCAATGGAAAGATATGTACACATTTTCCTAAAAGAAAATCCTCCTGTAAATGCGGAATAAATGTTAAAGGAATATTATCTTAGGAGGGGCTGAATTTGCAGTTGCTCAAAAGCTTCCAGCCTGGCTGGACTGAGATTCTGGGGCATTTGTCTTAGATAAATTCTCAGTGGTGGGCTTGAGACACTCACTAATTCGGAAAATGTAATCTGGGGCTTGTGTGTTTGTTTACTAACGAAAATCACATTTTAGGGCAGCTATTGTGTGGTGCACAGTAGGAAAGCAAAACTCAGCTAGCCTAACCCTGCACTCACAGAGCTCCAAGCAAAGCGAAGGAGAGGCCAATGTGGGTCGCGGGACCATTCAGATCCAACCCAGCTGCCTGATCCCGGCCAAGGAGAGCCTCTCCCTCCTCCTCCTCCTCCTCCTCCAGCACCCAGCCCTGGTCCTCCCTCCCCTCCACGAGTTCCCAGGCCTCGAGGCCAGAGCCCCAGTTGCCCTTTAGTCGGGAGGAACTGAACAGACACCAAAAGACTCTTTTCCAAAACCTGTATTAAAAAGCCAGGCACAGTGAGAGCACACTGTGTGTTTGTCTGGCAGAGACGCGTTTCACTGAAGGCTCTGTTTCTCCCCCCATTTCTTCCCGCGTCCTTGGCCAGCATGCACATACCAGCATCTCACCCTACCCTGCTCTCACAGGCAGGACTTCCAAGATCAAGTCCATTGTACTGGGGACGCGGCCAAGGGACCAAATAACTTCTGTCTTCTGCATTTTTCCAGGGCCAGGACAGCATGCCAAAGAGGTGACATCACAGCCGCGCCACCGGCCTCCGTTTCCTGTTTCTTTCGTCCTGACACAGGCATGAATCATATCAGTTTTATCATTGGACTGGGAGCTCATTTCCCTGTTCCACAAATGGTGGGAGGCGGAGGAGGCGGGAGCCAAGGGTAATCAAACCACCAGGTCCCGAGTCGCTCTTTTCTTTGCAGAAGTGGAACACATGTTCCCTGTCTCCAGAGCAGCCCCGTCTGGCTTCACTTGGAGGGGTTTTTTAGCATGCACTTGGATCCAGGGTCAGAGAGCGGTGATCTCATGTGAGAAGCGTGGTGATATCTGTGTCCCAGGTGAGGCGAGAGTTCCAGCCAAGGTGGGCCCCTTCCCCGGGACTGTCTCTGCGTCTCACAGCCCCCTGTCCGCAGGGAAAGTGCTGGTTAGAGGAGGAGGGCTGAGCTGAGAATGTGAACCAGAAACTTTGTTCTGTTTCAGTTTATTCCATTGTATCTTGTTTTATTCCCTTTAAAATAAACAATATATTAAAAAAAGAACCTAAATAAATAAATTTCTAGTAGCTCTATTAAAAAGTAAAAAAAGAATTTGGGCCAATAAATTTTTTGTTGTTTGTGGGTTTGTTTTGTTTTTGTCTTTATCTTTTGAGGCAGGATTTCACAATATGTTCAGACTGGCCTTGAACTCACTTTGTAGCCCAGGCTGGCCTCAAACTCTCAGTGATCTGGACCCACGAATTTGAGACTAAAATACCAATGACTTGTACTTGCAAAGAAGGCACGGGGTGGGTCCCTTGCGGGAGCTATTCTGATACTCAGCTCCCTAGAACTTGTTTTTCCTCGGTCACAAGCACATTGCTAGAGGTATTGATCACTTCCTATTTGACAGGCTCCATGGTAAGGGTTTGACTTGCACTAACTCAAGGTTAGTCACACAGCACTGTCGGGTTGTCGTTTTACAAATGGGGAAACTGAGGCACCCGGTGGTGTCTGACTGACTGGCCGACAGATAGATACCCAGTCTCACAGCCTGGGTTGAATCTGAATCACTGTGAGTCCCTGAGTGCCAGGTACCCATGGGTAGGTAAGCTTACTGGTTATTAAACAGCACACATGTATTTCTGAAACACCGCGGATATTTTAGGGAAGTAAGACCAGGCATGAGATTTGATGTTTCTGTTCATTGGAGCCACATCCATATGGTGTGAAGACATCCAACTCAGAAAACTCAGTCTCGGGGGCTGGGGGTTTAGCTCAGCGGCATAAGCGCCTGCCTTGAAAGCAGGCAGTCGTGAGTTCGACCGATAAAAAGGAAAAAGACAAAAAAAAAGAAAGAAAGAAAACTCAGTCTCAGCACATGTGAGTGCAAGTGACACTGCTATCAGCACTGCTGGGTGCGGGGTAGGTCTGGGCCAGACCCACCTCCCCAGGGGGTTCCACGTGGGTAGCTGTAAACGGTCCAGTGCTGCTTGCCCAAAATGTCCAGTAAGCCAGCCTTGTCCCTACTGACTGGCTTGCTTTTGACTTCTGATAACAACAGTTTTTTTTGAAAAAAATGTTGTGATCATTGAATTCTAACAGGAGTGTGTTCGTGGGCCGAGGAGCCTGTGGAGGTCGGACGGTAGCTTCAATGTTGTGGGTTGTGCCTCAGGTGGCCGATTAGTCCAGGAAGCCCGGAGGCTCCTGCTCCTGCTCCTGCTCCTGCTCCTGCTCCTGCTCCTGCTCCTGCTCCTCCTCCTCCTCCTCCTCCACAATGACAGCTGCTCCGTAGCCTCCCAGGGGAGCAAGCTGTGTTTAATTTGGATTTTAAGTGAGAAGCTCAGAGCACTGTGTCTTCTTGTATTTATTTGTTTTTCAGTTGAGATACAATATACATGACATAAAATCTGCCTCTAGCCGAACCTCCTCAGTGGTCGTGCGTTTGGGTGTGAATTCAGAGGCGGGTGCTCCTGGGTTACTTGTAAGGGCTGCATGCGTGCGCCCGCTGCTTCTGACATACATGCAGCCAAGTCTCCTTCCAGCTGGGGAGACACGCTTTGCTTTGCTGCCTAGCTTTTCTTTGTGCTGAGGAGGGTGACGGTCTTCTCTGTGGTCCTCCACTGGAGTGGGGAGCGTTAGGACCGGTTCCTCCCCACCCCCAGCGGTTCCCTTCCACATTCTGTCTCCCTCTTTCCTCTGCCCAACCCTTCCCGGCATCCAGGAACCACTTCTTACTCTCTGTTTTTGAGATCAGCACTTTGTAAGCCTCTCCGTACACATGGGAGCATGGGACAGTGGTCTTTCTGCACCCGCTTCCTGAACGTAATAACATCTACCAGGCTTGTGTAAGCTGTACAAGTGACAGAGTTTTGTTCTTTTTCATGGCTGGACAGTGTTCTGCTGTGCATACACTACGGTTTCTTTAATCCATTCCTCTTTAATCTACTAGTTGGCACCGAGGACACTGGAACCATTTTTAAGTGTACACTGCAGTGACGTTAGGATGCTCACGTGGGGGTGCATCTGTCTCCAAAACTCTTTCATCTTCCCAAACTGAACCTTTAACTGCACACTTTGCGCTGCTCCATCCACCCTGGAAGCCTGCGTCTTACCTTTGTGTCTATATGAATTCGGGTGCTCTAGACACCGTGTGTGTGGGTGTGGGGAGAGAAGTGGCTCATGCTACTCAGCATAACTGGCCAAAAGAGCCTTCAGCTGTGAGTAATGGCTGTCTCTCGCTGTCCTAACTTCCCCTCACACGGTGTGGTGCCAAACAGGCTGAGGATATTCTGTGGAAACTGCAAAACGAAATTCAAATTGACAATACTCTGCATTTGAGAGGAAGGTGTTGGCAGTAGTGGGAATCAAACCTAGGACTTGCACACTGAGCGGCAGCCCCGCCAGCCTTTTAGCAATTATTTATTTTGATACTGGGGCTTGCTAAATCTACTAAGTTGCCCAGGATGGGCTTGAAATCGGGATGCTCCTGCCTCAGCCTCCCAGAGTGCTGGGTTATAGGCATGTACAGCCATATCTGGCTGAGGGAAGTGTCGGGGTCGCTCCCGGCTGGCAGGAAAGACACACGACAAAGTCTGGCGGTGTGCAATCTTGCCTTTATTTATCTCCGCGTGGGCCCCGAGAGGCCTCCACTCTGCCACCAGCCCTTTCTCGCCGGTGGACTTTTTCTATCTCTCTCTGTGCTTTCTCTGTGCTTCCTGTCTCGTGGCGGGAGAGGCATTCACTTTTATAGGGTGACAGTGGCCAATCAGTTCAAAGCGCGCGATGCGGGCTGATTGGCTAACATCAGTTGTTGCTAGGCAGACTATCTTACAGAGCGGGTTGTTTAAGTCGCCAGCGCAATCAGGGGGCAGGAAGCAGGCGCCAACTTGGCTCACTCGATGGGAGGGGCAATCTAGCTCAGGCTCCGCTCCCACCCACAGGCCCTACGTCCGCCAAGTAAGGCGACCGGTGTCGGCCGCGGCTCCCAACATCTCCCCCTATTTTATTTACTTTGAATGAATGTATGCATCGCAGCCCGCCCTGGATCGAGTGCAGAGGCTTATGCCCTGTGTTGAGGCCCACCGTAGGCCCTTGGCTTGGACCCTGGTCGGCCGCCCCCGGGTCCACCAAGGCCTTGAGACCCTCGTCCTTTTTCCAGGGCCAGGAGTGAACTGGACGGAACCTGGATGCACATAGGCATGCACTCATGCCCCTCCGTGTGATCCCCTCGGAGAGGCATCTAGATCTGGTCAGATTCTAGTAATCCAGCGGCTTTCGTGCGCCATGGGGTAGGGCCTGGCTTAGGTCGAGTCGTGCTGGGGAGGCACGCTCTTACCCGTCATTGACTCACCCACCCTGCTGTGTGGTGTCATTAGGGAAGGAATGCGGAAGACCCGCCACACCTAGACCCGGTCGTAGGCCAGTCGAGCGAGCCATGCGTAGGCCTGGGGGTCATTGTGCCCATCACGGGCTGCTGCCAGGGCCGCATGGGCAACCAGGCGTACTTGACGCCAGGCCGCCGCAAGGCGCCCATTAATAAATGATGTAACCCATCGGAGCAAGAATGGTCCTACAAGTAAGAGCAGAAGCAAGGAGCACAGGGGACCTAACAATGGTAAAACATAGGGGAGCAAGCCATTCCAGGCTCCCCAAAAAGGGATTGTCCTGCAGTTTTTTTAGGGCTCATCTTGTTGTTGGGTCTGCGGTTGGCCTCTGGTGGAACAGGCCTGATCTTTAGTCGAGGGACTTGTCGCGTCAACCTCTCTGGGACCCACAGTGGTTTTCGTCCCGGTTCCTGCGGAAAAACACAAACCGCGCCTCGGTTCCAGCTAACCACCGGATCCGGGCCCATCCATTGTCATGCCATAGATAACCGCGCCTTTGGAGGCAGGCCTTGGCTTACTCCCTCTTTTTGTTTTTTATTTTTTTATTTTTTTTTTTTATTTTTGGTCTTTTTCGTTTTTTTTTTTTTTTTTTTTTTTTTATCGGTACCAGGGATCGAACTCGCGATTGCCTGCTTACAAGGCAGGCGCTTATGCCGCTGAGCTAAATCCCCAGCCCCTGTTTCCTCGACCGGCGTTTTTCTCAGCCTGCTCGGCAGAGTAGCCGCCCATGAAAATACCGTCCGCCCCGCGGCGCAACGTCATAGGACGGCGGTCGCGACAGAGTGGAACGGGGCGTCACTTCCTGTGCCGGCTGAGAGAAGGGAGGGTTCCCTGTAGCGGCCTCTCGGCGGGGAGCCGCTTCTGGAGAAGAGCTCCAGGGCGGAGCGGATGGCTCTCTATCTCCTCCCCGCCAGAGGGCGCTCGGGGGTCTTTTTTCCTCTCTCTGCTTTTTTCGAGCGGCGCACGCACACAATTCGCGGCGCAACTCGGCATAGGAGTCAAGGCACGCATGTATCATTTCCCACAGGGGGCGAATAGCCGGCGAAATATCGCCTCCCAATTCCGCCGAGGCGAGGTCCCCGCCTAACTTCTCCCATGACGGCAGGTTTAAATGCCCCATGGGTAAAAACCAGGGAGCCACCCTATCTATCTCTGCTATGAATAGTTCCAGTGTTTTTTGACCTACCCTGAGGTCTCTAGCTTTTAAAAGCTTCCTAAGGGCCTTTACCAAGGGCTGCGCCTCCGCGCTCGGTAAATTACCCATCTCTAACCTCTAATGGCTGTAACTCACCGCGTGTGACTTAAAGAACCCGTCACCTACGCGTGAGCCTGAGGGGAGTCTAAAAGCCCTGTAGGTGCGCGCCACCCAGAGCCCAGGCTTATCCCCAACTCACCTGTCCGGCAGCACCACGCTGGAGCGTTGCACACCACCGCCGTGTCTCGGGGTTGATCAGTCCCCGTGCGGGTCACCAAATGTCGGGGTCGCTCCCGGCCGGCAGGAAAGACACACGACAAAGTCTGGCGGTGTGCAACCTTGCCTTTATTTATCTCCGCGTGGGCCCCGCAAGGCCTCCACTCTGCCACCAGCCCTTTCTCGCCGGTGGACTTTTTCTATCTCTCTCTGTGCTTTCTCTGTGCTTCCTGTCTCGTGGCAGGAGAGGCATTCACTTTTATAGGGTGACAGTGGCCAATCAGTTCAAAGCGCGCGATGCGGGCTGATTGGCTAACATCAGTTGTTGCTAGGCAGACTATCTTACAGAGCGGGTTGTTTAAGTCGCCAGCGCAATCAGGGGGCAGGAAGCAGGCGCCAACTTGACTCACTCGATGGGAGGGGCAATCTAGCTCAGGCTCCGCTCCCACCCACAGGCCCTACGTCCGCCAAGTAAGGCGACCGGTGTCGGCCGCGGCTCCCAACAGGGAAGTATATTTTTGTGGTTAGCACATGTAATGCCTCGGGCTATAGTGATAGTGCTGCACTCCGACCCTTGCCAGGCTTAGCATGACAAGTTCCCCAGGTGAGCAGCCAGAGCCCAGGTCCCACATACTGCTCCATTCCTGTGATGTCGGAGTTTCTTGTCGGACACAGGAGCCTGTGCCAGGCCTTGCTCGGACCTCTCACCTGCAGGGAAGGCCCATCTCAGCTCTGCCAGCTGTGTGCCTCAGAGACAGAATCAATAGGACATGTGTGTTGTTATCAGAAAGCGGGTGTCTGGGGAATCACCCCCCAAGCTTATGGCTGCTGAGAAGCCCCGAGGTGGTTATCTCTAGGTTGGAGACCCCAGGATGCTGGCGCTATGGCTCAGTTTGTCCTAAAAGTCTCAGAACCAGGGATGCTGATGGTGGCCTTCTCAGTTCAGTGCCCAAAGCGAAAGTACCCAGAGAAAGGGCTGCTGGGGTCAGTGCAGAGCCCAAAGCATCCGAGAGACATTGCCTCCGGCTCTCAGGTCCTTCTACATTCGCTCTCTCAAGACCCCAGGGGCCCATGTTCCCTGAGAGCAGCTGAGCCCCACCTGGTCCCTTCAGACTCAGTGCCGCCCTCCTCTGGGGGCACCTGTTCCCAAAACACTGCTTCATGGGCTTCTAAGAATTCCTTCACCCAGTCAAGCTGATGATGCCTGACGTTAATCAGCACAGGCCGAGATCAGACGGAGGCCAGCACCCTCATGTGTCGGGTGGTTGTGGACGGGTGTCAGCTGGGGTTGGTGGGGCTGCAGCGGCAGCACCTAGGCCTGGTGGCTTCCTTACAGATGCAGGGAGCTGGACCTCGGGCAGGACCACAAGGGCGGGCTCCCCTCAGGAGGAGCCGCAGCCCTGCCTTTGCTGCCTCCTGCGGGCTCCACAGGTCACCTGGACAGGAGATGTCAGAGGATTCGGGGACACGTTTTGAAGTCACCATGTAGGTCAAAATGTTGTTAGCCGTCTCAGTGTTGGAGTGACCTCCGGGAACATATCCCACAGCTAACGAGCATTGTAAGGAAATTTGACATCGTCTGACATTTTATAGCTTCCTCATGGAAGGAATGGCTACGCTTCACAGCAGGTTTCTATGAGGCTTTCCCTACACTGAAAAACTTCTAAGAAATAAAATGGGGAACCAATCACTTTAGGGATGTGAGCTCTTGAATAAATGCATTCTCCTTTTTTTTATTTGGCTATTCATTTTGAAATAAAATTCTAAAAATTTATATCATCAGCCATGAGTTATGAAACTGAAAAAATTTAAAATATCAGTAATAAAATTTTAAATTTGAGCCTGGTGTGGTGGTGCCCTCCCATAATCCAGTGCTGAGGGGGACTGAGGTAGAAGGATTATGAGTTTGAGCCCCACCAAGGCAGCTTAGCAAGAATCTACATCAAAAAAAAATGTTTTTTTGAGGCCTAGGTATATAGCTCAGGGTAAAGCAGGTCTGGATTTGGTTCCCAATACCACAAAAACAAAAATTAATTTTGATGGGCCATGTTGTAGGAAAGACTGAATTATATCTTCCTATCCTTGCTGTAGAAAACATGCCCAGAGTGTCACGGAAAGGTACCACAGATCGGCCCCTCAAAACCTGCAGGGTTTTTGGCTATTGCTCTTCAACTACCTGTCCTCTGGACACAAAGTAGTCATCGCGCTGCAGGAGACCAGAGCCACATGAGCAGGTGCCATCCAGGAAAACTTGGCGGAGAGACAGGACCCCAGGTAGATGAGGAGGACGGCCTGGGGCAGGGTGGGCCCCCACCTGGCAGTTACCCTCCCGAAGGCTGATTGACCCAGCTCCATGCTGATTGGCCAGCGCCTGGTGAGGCAGTTGGCACAGGTGTCACCTGTCAACGCCATTGGACTGGCAATAGCAAAGGCACCAGGAAAGAATCACCTTGGCCCGTTTATCAGAAGGTAAGGAAATGGGCCCGGCTCGGGTCCAGCTGGGGCAGTTCGCAGAGGTCCAGTTGTTTAAGGACCATAAACCCACTGGCACAGGAGGCTGCACGTCCAGACTTGGAGGTCGGTGTAAGATCCTGCAAGCATCGGGGAATAGGGAAGCCTTTCAGCAGAGTGAGGACAAGTTGGGCCTGTGTTTCAGGGAGATTACCGCAGTAGCCGATTGAGGAGGATGTAGGAGGTAACCAGACATGAGCCAGAAGATCGAAATGTACAATAGATACTGCGATAATGAAAGGAAAGAAAGTGCTCTAAAGGAAAGGAAAAGGAAAGGTTATATGTATATAGGTGTATATAGGTGTGTGTGTATACAAGTCAGGTTACTGTATATGTATAGAGGTGTGTGTGTATACAAGTCAGGTTACTATACTGCCAATCCCTGTCAGTTCATCAAAAAGAACAGTTGTGCTCTCATTGTCTGAGCATTTCTATGCCTAAATCTTATAACCTAAGCAACTACTTCTAAGATAACAATATGCAATATATTAACTAGTGTTAATCTCCTACTATTTTTTGAAATTCAGTATCATTTCTATCTTTTTTGTTGCTTTGCTTTTTTAAATAAAAATTAAAAAACTAAGAGAAAAAAAAGTCAAACTAGGAATGCAAGGGTTGGGGGCTGTACAGGCATCGCTTCCCCAGCTAAGGTAGGTTTTGTTAGCTGATGGTGGGTCATTTGTTGAAGGCATCTTATGCTCTGCTTAAGCTGGCCTGATCTTACCTCCTTCCGGTCAGCGCTGCATGCCAGCCACCCATGTCTGGGCTGACACCTCTCCCCAGCCCAGGCCCCAGCTCTCTGATGCAGTGGCTGCTCTGTGCCTGCATCGCTGGGTCGACTTCTTAGCATCCACGACCACTGAGACCTTGCACAAGGGCTTTCCCCTTCATCCTCACTACATGGTTCTGAGGCCCATTCTGAAGTTCTTTTGGGGTCACAGGGTGCTACAGTCTGGATCGGGAGCACCCTTCAAAGTGTTAAAAGCTGGCTCCTGAGTTTGGCATGGATCATGGACTGAAATTTCCAAATCTGTGACAGAAAACAACCCTTTCTTCTTGGTAAGGGGATGATCTAAGGTATTATTTCTTACAATAATGGAAGCTATCCACATAGCTACTTGGATTGTGCTGGCTTCCCTCCTGCAGCCCTCCTCCTGCCTTCTGTGACCGCAGACCCTGATAAGGGCCAAGCGCAGACCTTGGTCCCCTCAGGCCAAGAGAAGACAGGCTTCCTGACTCCACTGTTTCTAGACTCACACAATGCTCTGCCTCCACTAAAAGCATCGCATCCTCACGGCCCACTTTTATGCGCCTTATGTAATATCTCCTTTCAAAAGTAATATGTAGAACAAAAAGGAATGGCTCTCAGCCTGTGGGGAGGTGATTTAAAGCATTGGAAAGAGCTGAGAATTTAGTCATGAGATCTACACTCGGACCTCGCCGTCCGCGTGTCAAGTAATCAAGGGCAAATCCTAAGCATCTTCAGCCGCCCAAGATCTCCATCCATAAAGTAGAAAATTCATACAGGAAGTCGCTGAGGGGAGAGCCACCTAGCACGCGCCAGGCCCTGGGTTCAATCCCTAGCACCACACACACAAAGAACAAAGAATTGGATGAAACAAGCCCACACCAGTGACAAGGTGTGTTTGGTGAGTGCAGGTAAAGGGTGAGGGCAAAACTGGCTCCGCAGCATGAAACTGGGAGCAAAAGCGAGGAAGAATAAAAGCAAAAATAAATGTACACCCTGGAGGACACGGGGCGGGCACCAAGGGGAAAGGCTCTTCCTGGCCTGTGTCCTCTGATGCCACCTGCACCTCACAGAAGCAGAGAAGCTCTCCCTCTGGGGTTCTGAGAGGTGGCGTGCTTACATTCCAGGACCACCCACCCAGCCAGCCTAAGCCACACCCTCCCAGCTCAGTTGCTGATTCAAGCACTCAAATTCTGGTCCCTCTTCCTCTCCGTGACCCCTCTTTGTGCACATGGGTGTCACTTTTCCCCAGAGCGTCTCAGGTTTTCCCATCCCCTCAAGCCCCAGCTCCAGGGTTGGCTCTGATTGACTTGGGGAGATTATTTGCCAGTTTCCCGAACCACCGGGACTGGAAGGAGCCTGAAGTCATTTGGGAGATCTGGGAAGGAATGCCCTCATTCTCCTGGGAGAGCAATCAAGTGACCCAGCACACATGTAGCTTCAGAAACAGCTGGAATCATCTTGTGGCCCTAAGGCATTCCAGCCTGGACATGAAACAGAGAGGCAGGCAGAAGGTGAGATTGCTGAACTCCTGACTCTGGTCACTGCAAGGCCTCCTGGCCTCCCGGTAAGTGAGTCCTTAAAGACCCGAGCAGGAGCCAGGGCGAGGGAGGCTTTCTCCTCCCCTGCATGGAAAGGCTCCGCACCTCAGGAGAGCACGGACAAACTCTGTGATCACCGGGAAACACGCTTTACGGTGGTTATTGCTAATAGCAAGAATACCAGCGGTCCATGGGACAAGTTGAAAAAACTTCTAAGCTTTGATGTTAATTTAATTTAGTGTCTTCTTTGAGAAAAAAAGTTACCCTGCACTCAGGAGGAGGCTGAAGTGGGAGAATCACAGGTGAAGCTTACTGAGGGTGACATAGTGAGTTCAAGGCCAGCCTGGAGTCTACGGCAAGCTCTCATCTCAAAGCCACTCACAGCAAGAAAAGGAAAAGGAAAACATTTAGATCACTGCCACCCTAATTAGAAATAGATTCCAACTAGAATTATTTATATTTGTAAATGTATGTTTACACAATTAAAAGCCTATCAAAGTTTAAAAGTATTTGTATAACTCCTAAGTCACCAAAGAAAATGCTACACAAAAATAAAAATATGAAAACTAATATCCTACTATAACATAGTGTTACAGTGTAAATAACAAATGTGGGGAAATAATTGGAAATCAGATGACAGATGAAAAGGTTGATATTCTCTATATATAGAGTCCTGGTAAGTCAATACAAAAAAGAAA